ACGTGAAACAATTACCGCTAATCTGCCTGCACTCGCCGAAGTGTCGGTTATTACACCTACGGCAAAATGGGATTTGGTTTCGACCACCATCACCTTGTCTCTGGCCTCGAGCACCTCCATAAAACCTACCTCCACGTCCTTGTCCAGAGGCACTGAAACCCCCACTAGACGAACTCGAACTGGCACCACCCCTTTTAAAGTTCTGAGTTTGGCGAGGCCCAAGCGACACTTGACTTTTCCCTTTGTCATCTTTCTTTTCATCACTGTCGCTCGACATATTCTCTGAGTCCTCTACCCTCAACAATATCTCATAGAACTCCTGGTAGGACTCGCAGTGAGTAGTAGTGGCCATAGAACGCCATTTCTTCCTAGTGCCCAAGCGAAAACGACGAAGCATCTCCGCCGGATTACCAGCGACATCAGGATAGTAACGAGACAAATCAGTGAACTTACGATAGTACTCGTTAGCCGTCATCTTTCGCTGTTTCAATTCAGTGAATTCCTGTTTCTTACGGTCGATATACTCAGGGGGTACAAATCTCCTTTGAAACACGTCCTTGAAAACATTCCAATCGGTCCTCTGAGCTGGAGTCAACCTCCGAAGTTCTTGTTCCCACCAAGCTGCAGACTCCATCTCCAGAAACCAAGAGGTTGTCTCAACCCACCTTTCCATAGGAAGGTTCCCCTGGTTATGTAACACCCGGAAAGTCTTCTCTAGGTGTTCCAACCAACGTTCTGCGCCTTCGTGACCCTCGTTACCTTTAAACTTATCCAACTTCAAGTTATACATAGTCTCCAGAGGAGTCCTCTGGGGAGGGCGCATCACTGTTTGAAGGGCTGTAGCAATCACTTCCCCCAACTGAGTAAGATCAGGGAAACTAGACTCATCTGAGCGACGTGGTTCCCGACGAGGCGGCATGATTCGGACAGAAGACACCAACTATTAGAATACTCACAAAGACACAGGACTGCCAAACCTAGGCTCTGATACCAAGCTGACACACCCCGACCGAGATCAGGGCATGCTGGCCGTCACGTGAAGGTGACGTAGCCATGTGCGCGTGCGGAAGCTATTAAGAAGGTAATATAAAAGTACGAATAATTAAAAACCTAATAGCATACAAAGTACTAGTGTATGTGAGACACAATTCAGAGTAAGTCTACAACAGTCCAAAGGAAAAGATACAACATATGTACACCCGAAGGTGACCCTACAATGGTGGATGTCTGTCAGAAATGCCGGGACGCCCTCTGGGATAAACCACCGAACTTGCTAGACCACTAGAACCTGGAGGGGCGCAAAAACAAAAGCGTGAGTGGGCAAAAACAAAGTTCTTTGAAAACTCTTTAGCAAAATACATTCTAACCCCTCGCCGTAAAACCTGTATACTTCCCAGAAAATGAACATATATACGTATGTATAGATATGTCAATCATGCTTCACATATGCCATTCATGCTCCATAATATGCCACAACATAATCTCATAATCAAATATGAATACTCAAGCGTAATTCACATCAATCACATATAATCTAGCAGCCGGGAGTCACCTAACGTGACCTGTACGGCTGCATCTAGAGCTCCACTCTCAACTCAATAACTGAATCTGCACACGAGTCGGAACCACCTAACGTGGTCTGTACGACAAGCTGGGTGTATTATATATATGTATGCTCTAGTGCTACGATCACGTGAAGCTGTGCGATAATCGCGGGTCACCTACAAGTCGGAACCACCTAATGTGGTCTGTACGACAGGCTTGCACCTATCTTGGATCCAAGGCGAGCATGCGGTGCTGGTGAACATACACGTGAAGGCTGTGCCCTGGCCCTGGGCGGGAGCACTAACACCGGGGGTGCAGATTATGAGCTCTCTAAACCTCTCAAACTACCATTGCATAATAAACAGGAATGCATAACCACATGAATACCGCTTACCTGGCACTTACCTGTGCGTCCACAGCACCAAATACGCATTTATATATATATGTATGCCACTACTAATACATGCGATGATGCGTAAACAATATTCAAATGATGCATGGCATAAAACATATAACCTTTTCTATTTAATTTCTGGGAATTAATATGTATATAGGTATATACGGAAAACAAAAGCCCACTCACTGGTAATTAGAAGGGTCGTAACCCCCTTGCCTCGAGTGTGTACGCTCGTCCTCGGAGAACGAATCACCTATACGCGACAAAGTTACGAAAACATTAATTTAAAAGCACCTAAGCAACTTCTTGTAATAACTTCTCATACATTGCTCAAATTGGACAATTGAATATACCAACGTGACCTACACAACCTCAGGATCACGCCCATAATTTTAGAAAAATTTTTGGACCACGCACGCGCCCCCACGCGCCGGCCAAGGCACGGCCCTACGCGCCCCCACGCGCGGCCACGTGCACTGCACACTGACGGCATCAACTGACGCCGTCAGGAATATTCCGTTAACTGACGGAATATTCCGTCAAATCTAACCAGATTCCGTCACTGCCGTTAGGAATATTCCGTTAGACTTAACGGAATATTCTCCTTTCTTCTCCGGCGAGCCTCCGGCGCCGGCGACGGCGCCGGAAAACTGGGAATTTTTCAAACCTTGTTTTCTCCTTCGTTTTTCAACCAAATTTCACGTTCTTTATACCAAAATGAAGCCTAGGACTAGTAGAACAACGTTAGACTAGTTTTAAGGCCTAAAAATTAAAGAATCTCACCTGTCTTCAAGGTCAAAACTCGGCCAACTTTGCACAGGACGATCGTGACGTCCAAATTCACCCAACGAACTACTCCGAGGCTCCTTGGGACCTCACAAACACATCTACAAGCTTAGAATCTCCTAAAACAAGCTAGATTAGGTTTGCATGAACAGTGCAATAATCGGACCTCGTTGAAACGACGTGAAAACATCTATATTCTTACCTGAAAATGGCACCTTTGAACTCCTCTCAGCTCCACGAACACGATGGTGGTCTTAGTTTCTTGATTGGTGAAGGTTTGATTATGCTTGTATGTGTGTCCGTGTGTAGAGGAAGAAGAAGAACTCGGGGAGAGTGAGAGAGAGAGAGAGAGAAAGAAAGAAGAGACAGAGAAGAGACAGGAATGAGGGAAAAGAGGGAGGGAATCCCGGGAGAGTGAAACGAGGTGTATGAGTGTGTGTGTGGTCCTACACACCACACCATACTACACTAAACTACACGTAAGTTTAACGAACTAGGGGGGTAAAATTGTAATTTCACATGTACATTCCGTTAGTTTCGGGACGGGATGTTACAGTTATGGTGGCGCCCTAATTAATTCATAGGCATTTGAAAATTAAGAAAGGGTGCCTAGACCTGCTTATGCGTGTGCCTAGATCTACTTAGGCGTCCACTTAGCCCGCCTAGACCCACCTACGTCACGACTCTCACTTAGACAAAAAATCAATAATTTTCATTTGACATTTTTTTTTTCCAATAAAATGTATGAGACTTGTTGAATACTTGGATGAACACTCATTATATGTTTGTTTCACATGTTTTCAATATGCTCTAATATTTTATAATCTATGTCATTTTATTTTGTAATATATGTATCTCAATACAATTATGTATTTTTATAAGTATAAATGAAAACATAATTATACGGTATATACTAAATATACTTAAATCTTCCTAAGGCTTCCGCCTAGATGCTAAGTCCTAGCCCGCCACCAAATTATCGTTTAGCGTTTTTTAGAACCTTGATCGCCATATACCTAATCATTTATCATATGTCATTTCACCTAACTCTAGTTAACTTTCAAATTATATGTTACTTTTTTAATTTGAATAAAAAAATTAACCAAAATTAGTTAAAGAACACGTAATACATAATTAAATGTATAATGAACATACAGAAAAGTTTAGGATTACAAGAAAAAAATGCTCCCACGAAATGTATAATGAAGTGGGACCACCTCGGAAAGCGAGACCGAGCTACCTCAGCGCAGCTCATTATTATGGGTCTCTCTCTGCAAAACCTTCCCACTTTCACTTTCACACTCTCACTGTCTATCTTCAGCTGAAGAAGCAGCGGCATCCAACGGCAGCTTCTTCTCGCACTTAAAAATTGAGCACTTAAAAATGGAGACGCTCTGACTGTCATTCACTCTCTCTCTCTCTCTCTCTCTCTCTCTACATTTCTCCTATATCATCGTTGGATTATCAGATCCGATATGCCTGAGCTCAGAAAGCGGATTCGGTTTCTCAAAAGCGCTTCTTCAGACGCCATTTTCCGACTTCTTTAGCACCAAAGGAGGCACCACAAAATCGCAGAAGCCGCCGTATTTCAGAATCACTTCTTTCTCAAGGTAAAAATCACTTCCTGCGTTTGTTAATTGAATGCCATGCCATTTTAGCTTTTCGATTTTTTTTTCCTTTCTGCACGGATCCGGTGGACCCATTTCAGCTTGTGGCGGAAGAGGGAATTAACTCTGGTTATTGGACACAAATGTATTAAAGATCATTCTCTTGGGTGTTTTAGTAATTAAGTATATGGTACTACTAAGAAATCTATTAACTTCATAGATGAAGTGGATGCCACGTCCCTACTTTGCCTCCCATTTTCTAAGGTTTGATTTTTTCTACACTGTCGTTGGGTTAGGTTAGTTGGTCATAGCAGTATAGCAGTATCCGTATCTTTGCAGCCAAGTTCGAATTCCGAAGGATAAATACTTCTTTGTCACAAAGAAAACAACTTTGATCTTTTTGGAACAAAGTTTTTAATTTTGAAACAACAAATCAAATCCTAAAATTTTGAATGTTGTATACACGAATTTAGAAATTTAGAAACTTGATTTAATTTAACAAATGATGAAAGCTAATATAATAGGCTCGGTTGGTGACTATAATTTTGACAAAAAAGTATAGGTCTTTTGCAGTTTGGGTCCAGTGTTTTCTGAGCAAGCTCCTTCTTCTTGTCAACCAAAAAAAAAAAAAAAAAAGTATAGGTCTCTTGGAAAAGTTTGGTTGGTGAGTAGGGTTTGTGTAGTATTTTCTCAACCGTGGTTTTATTATGTCATCCTTTCACCCATTCACGTTGGCTGAATAAGTAGGGCCCACTATGACCCCAATATTGGGCCCACTTTCCACAGCCGACAGATTGGTAAGGCCCAGTGTGAGCTCAATCTTTGCTCGCTTTACGGACCGAGCAGCAGTACGTGTATGTCTGATGTCTGTCTTTGAAGCTAAGTAAAAGTCTTTGATGAATTATAACCGTTACTTCCCAATGTGAATACAAAAATAGGAAAGCTTTTTTAAATTTTCAACCGTTGGGATGTCTGAAAATTTCCCATTTGAAAAATTTTAGAAAGGCCAGTTAATATTTGAGTATTGAGCCACGGTTGTGAAAAGTAAACAGATTGTGGGGTTTCGTTCGGTAATATTGGATTAGATTTTAGGTGCAGCTGAGGGGTCACTTTCTGATATGGAAAATGGCAGCTTTCAGAGAGGTGGCTGATGGGTTTGTTTTGAGTTTACCATTTTCCAATCCATGTTTTCATGAGCCCCATTTGTCTCTTTCCACGCTATTTGTGTCACATGTCCTTTCGGCATTGTCCATTTTCTAGATTTACTCCATCATTTGTGACGGGATTGCGTATGTTAGACCTTTCTGGTCTTTGTTATATTGGGTTTGCTGTGCTCCAGTTTGTGTACTTGTACTCATGTTTGAACTCTGAAGGAGGGAGTTGCGATTGTTTTGAGTAATTTGAGCTCAATGCTTGTTACTTTTCACTTTGTATTTTGTAAGTCAAGGTAAAGTTCCTATTTCTGTTCCTGCTGCGGTTCTTTACTGATTCAGGTGTGCTGATTTTCCTTAATTCTCTAAAAGCTTTATACTTTCTATCTGTTTGGAAGTCACTTGTTGTAAAGTCTTGTGGAGTTACTGGGAAGAAAGTATATTTTTGTTTGTAGGAATCTTTTGCTTTTGACCTTCTTGTATGCTGTTTGGGGAGGCAGTTTAAATAGTTTAAAGAATGTGGGACTGCTAAAAGCAGTAATGCATTGATGATAGACGGGGGCAGGCGCTCATTTGTTGGGCCAATTTCCGCTTGATCCCCAACCGGCAAGCCTTGAATTTTACAGTCTTTTCTTATTTGATGCAACTCGACCACAGTTACAGATTTTAATGACTAAGGCAATGTGGTTGTTTTAATGGTCACTTCTTCATTTGTGTTTTTAGTTGTGTGTAATTATGAGACTGGGTATAACAATCTGTAACCATGGGTCAACAATAATTTTGTAAACTCGTTTTCGCCAAAATTGTGTGTTGACAATACCACATAGTCGAACTTCATGTTGTACTACATATTTTGCTTGAATGCACAGCAAAGTGGGTTGCATTTACAGTCCTAGGTTATATACAATGATGATTAAATGATTGAGTTTACAATCCTAGGTTATATACAATGATGATTAAATGTATTAAGTCTAGTGCTTAATTGTGCTATTATTTATAATTAGGGTAATGATAATTACAAGTGCAGAAAACCATGGTGGAGAAATCAAGGTGATGAATCTGGACTGGTTTCTCTAACAGTTAGCTTCCAATTTGTTGGCCAACCATGAATTTAACAACACCTGCCTGTCATATTTTCTTCTACATGCTTGCCTAACTTTCTATTGTTTGATTCCGGATTTATGAGAGTATTACATCTGATTTTAATTTTCTTTTCCTTTTCCTTGTGGAACTTACTATCTGCACTGTAAAGGATTTGAATCAAATGGGTGGGACGGTTAGTTGTTTACACCTTTGTGCTTGTTCCACTCAACTTATTTATCTAAAATAAAACTTCATAGTGTTATCACTAGGGAATTTTTTTTCTTGTAAGAAAAAGAAAGTTTTATTAAATTATTTTGATAAGCTATTTGGCTCTGTAAATTGTGTTTATGCCTGAATTGATATAATCTACATCAATAATCAGTGTAGGCTTAAGGATTGAGACCACTGAAGTCTGAAGTTTCTCACTAACCCAATGAAGGTTTTTTTTAATACGATATATTTCCAGTTTGTTTTATATCGAGATCTCTATGACGTTAGTTTTCTAACAATACGTTGTTATGAAGTCACTTATTTCTTTTTGTATTTCACAGCATTTTAGGGAAAACATTTACTTGATTCTTACATAATTGTTGCGCTATGTTTGCCATCAGGAGTAGAAAGTGTATCCAAATCAGTTTTTATTATTTTACTTATGTAATATTCATTTTCGTTATGGATTCAATATGCTGTTGTTATACTGTTCAGGTTAGGATAAATGAAGTTCCAAGTGAAGGTTGCCCTTGCCTGTGTGATAACCTTGATCGTGATTCAGCAAGGTGTTTGCGGTTAGTATTGATTTCTCATTGCCGATATGTTTATGAAAAGATTTATTGATATTGCAATATGGGAAATCCAAGACACGCCTTGCTTGCCTTCAAATCTGGAATTAAGTATGTTGCTTGGTGATATGCGAAACTTATATTTTTCCAACATCCAAATAACCTGCACATATTGTTCCCCTTTTATAGAGTCTTGAGCTTCCATATTAGAAGGGTTACCCATCAAACTTCTTCGTAGTCTCAGTATGATTTAAATAATATATGGAAATCTTCTTTTCATTATTTGTCGTAGCAGATGAGGTTTCCGGTTCATGGAATGCGACTGACTGGACATGTAGATGCTCATATCAAGGAAACGTGAGCTACACTCTAGAACCTTACTGTTCAGCATCCTGTAATTGCAGTAAGGGTATGCTGCTGATCTTAATGCTACAATCACCCAAAAGCTTTACACTTCTTTTGATACACCATTATTTGCCGATAAACTTTTAACAGTTGTTCCTTTCGTCATCTCTTTATATTTGTTTCTGTTTATATCGGACAGAAATAAACGGATTGAAATAACAGTTTCTGGTCAATAGATATTACAATATTAAGTCAAATATATTCTTGAATGCACTTGCTCATTTTTTTTACGCATATTCTTTAAATGTTGTTCACTCAATGTTTAGGTGGAAGCTCTACAAAATTCATATATAAAAAATGCTTCAGTTAAATCCTTGTATGTTTGTGCGTTCATTGCATTGATTAAGAACTATCCCTTATTTTGTGACTGGAATATTCTTTTGTACCCATTTTTCTTGTATATACTACATGATGTATGACAATATAAACTGAATGCCTCTGATTCAGATGCTGGAAGTAATACTACATGGACATGCATATGTGCTGCCAATGGGCTTCCTAAAGTCGCAGCTGACGGTCATGATCCTAATTGTTTTACAGCCTGCAACTGCACTTATGGTACTTTCTCTCTCTCTCTCTCCTCTCTCTTACACAGACACACACACACACACACACACACACACACACACACACACACACCAGTCAACCGATCCACTTTACATAGAACAATGATAAATCATGTTGTTTTTTAAAGCTGATTGCTTTATGGAACCATGGATTTTGATTTACTGTGAGAATCCTGTTTACGGACATCCCATCTTTGACGTATATGTATTGACGCACCTATAATTTATCCCACAAAGAATTTCCAGATTTTTTTTTTACATACATCTGACATTTTGTTATATCTTTGATTTACAAGTTAGATAGACTTTGTTATATCTTCTACATTAATTCTTTATCTGAATTCTGAAGTCATTTGATTGTGACTTGTTCTGTGTTTCTTCTTAACAGGATCTCTCAATGCAGCACAGCCTTCAAAAAATCATTTTTCGAGCAAAGTTGTTGTGATTATTCTTTTAGCATGTGTCATACTCACAACCCTGGCTTTTATTTCCTCGGTGGCATGCTACTTCTGCCGAAGGGCTAAGTGCTCTATTCAAGCGCCAATATTTTCGCCTGATAAGGAATCAAGTTGCAATAGTGCTTCCAACTTAATTAGCTATAAGAGTTCCTCATTGTTTGAGACCAAAATCAATATGGATTCCCCCATCAGTAAAGGCACAGGTAATTTGATCTACGGAGTGTTTTAGCAGAGTTTGTTTCTTAGTCTATAAAAACCAGCTCATCTTTTCAGCCTGTTCATTTCATAGTACTCCTTTAAACCTGATAACTTTTTTTTGTATATTTTTCTCCGTACAGGAACTGCTATAACTATTCTGTTTCATTTAACAGGCTGCTTTACCTCTTGCATATTGAGGAGCAAACCCCGAGCTACACCTGGAGCAATTGTTCAATTTTCATATTTTGAACTGGAAAGTGCAACCAATAAGTTTTCAGATTCCAATCTAATAGGACTTGGTGGAAGCAGCTATGTCTATCGTGGCCAGCTCAATGATGGCGAAGTTGTGGCAGTTAAGCGTCTAAAAGCTTTGAAAGGGCCAGACATGGACTCTGTCTTTTTAACAGAGGTAATACCTCATCTTTCTGTGCGTTTGTTGATATACATCAACATCCTTTTTATTTGTTTCTTAACAGAAGAAATAACTTAATCAATCTGTTCTTTTCTCAGATTGAAATGTTAGCCAGACTTAATCATTTTAATGTGGTGCCTTTGCTTGGCTACTGCTTTGAAACCCATGGAAAAAATGTTGAGAGGTTATTGATATTTGAGTACATGGATAACGGTAACCTGAGAGATTGTTTGGATGGGGATGAAGGGAAAAACATGGATTGGGTCACTCGAGTTTCAATTGCCATTGGAGCTGCAAGGGGTTTGGAATATCTCCATGAAGCAGCTGCTCCAAGAATTCTGCATCGAGATGTCAAATCCACAAACATTCTTCTGGATGAAAATTGGCAAGCAAAAGTAAGATGTTATTATTTGAAACAAGGGAAATAATAATAGGCTAGTTTGAAGCGGATATTTGGCTACGAACACGGTTTACATTTCTCTTTTGGAACTGAAAGATAGCCTAGTTTGAAGCGGATATTTGGCACGCATTTCTTATATTTCTTATATTTGTTATATATGTGCAGATAACTGATCTTGGTATGGCGAAACGTTTAAAAGCTGATGGTGTCCCTAGCACATCTAGTTCTCCAGCAAGAATGCAGGGGACTTTTGGTTATTTTGCACCGGAATATGCTATTGCTGGAAGAGCATCTCTTGAGTCAGACGTTTTCAGTTTTGGCGTAGTTCTTCTTGAGCTTATCACTGGTCGGAAGCCCATCCATAAATCAACCACTAAGGGAGAAGAAAGCCTTGTCATATGGGTATAGAAAATTGCCAACTTTATTACTAGGAACACATATCCATCATTTATTTTGCATGAATTTCCGTTTTGTTACCACGGTGCTGCTGATTAACATGAATTTATTGTAGATAACCAGTTCAGAAATACATCTATGGGTTAATAAAAATTGATGTAGCATGTGAACGTTTTTGTCTTTGTTGTAGGCTATGCCTCGTTTACTGGATAGTAGGCGAGTAATCACAGAGTTGGCGGATCCAGATTTAAATGGAAACTTCCCAGAAGAGGAGATGCAGATAATGGCTTACTTGGCAAAAGAATGTCTACTGTTGGATCCTGATGCTAGACCAAACATGAGTGAGGTTGTCCAAATCCTTTCAACTATTTCACCAGAGAGATCTAAAAGGAAAAACTTTTCTGTAAATCTTTTTCAGGTAATTATCGTACATTGAAATCTTGCCAATTCTTGCTTTTACGCACCTATGTGGTTGATGTCATTTTTTAACTTTTCATATGTCGTCTGGAGGTCATATTGTATGATTTGAGCAATGCGTATAAAACTTGATCTGAGTATTCTTCTGGACAGCACATAGGCATGGATGGCCATAAAGATGCTGAGGAGATAAGGCGAGCGAAATCCAGTAAAGGTTCAGTTCGGTGTTCACTGCCACTGGACATTGACCGTAACCTATGTGCTGAAAGAGACACGCATTCTGTTTCAGATAATATGGAGAGATTGATCCTCTTGACTTCAAATGCCAGGAGTTGTCGTGCCAACGATATTGAGACAGTGGATTTAACTGAGCCCAGGTTGGAGTCTTTTTGCGTAACAAATGGTAAGCCCCCATGACCAGAGCAAACTTGAAGCAAACGGATAGGAAGGAAACCAGATGCTAAGCTTATTTCAGATACTTGTTTGTGGTTGGTTGCTCAAAGAAATCACGAGGAAGCAGCGGGTTTCTGAAGATTTGTTCCTCTATACTTTTTTCTTTGAAGAAAATCATAGTTGTGTATTTGTTTGGTTGTTGTACAGAAATCATAGCTCCAAAATATGTTAGGAGATGAAAAGGAGTAATTCAGTAAATGCAAAAAGATAGTTTTTAAAGCATTTTTGCTCCTGCATATTTTCATATAACCAGCAATTATTTTTCTTACCAAGGAGCTGGTTTCCTAATATCCCATTTATCCCGGAGCAACGCAAAGAAGAAAAAGAAAATCAATGAAAAGGGCTTGAAAATTTTGAGTTTTGATGATAAGAACAAAATAAAGGGTAAAGTGAATAGTATCAAGATTGACATTTTAGTGTAAAAATATGGTTTTTCGTTAAAATGAACAGTACCGTAGGTTTTTTGTTAAAACTTTCAAGAAGAAAACATATGTAATGCTTGAGATAACAGTCGTCTGGCCACAAATGCGGGCTGATTAGGCCAGTTAGCCATGATAGTTTGCCTGTATGTCTGCACCTATGTTTGCAGGCTCATTTCTATAAATTAAAGTAGCGTAAAATATAGTCTTGTAAAAGATAAGAAGTCAAACCCATAACTGCTCTCACATGGTCACTAGACATTTTTCTATTCCCGTGGCATACAGTTGCACATAATTGTTGCAGTCTGGCTAAGTAACAGCTCAAAATGCTAACCATAAATTACACATCTTATTTACTTGATGTAGGGTATATAACCATATTTATGTGGTCTTAGGGTTCTTTTCTTTCATGTATTCAATCATAAATTGTGAGAATTTTTTTATTACTTTCTAGTGAATTCTAGTTTTCTAATCTTAAAGGTCATCATTTAAATTTCCCTTTAGATTTAAGTTGCCTGAAGGGACGTGAGCATGAGCTACTGCCCCCAAGCAATTAAATATATATATATACACAGGTCATTTATGTAAAGGGATTCTAATTTTTTTTTCTTCAAAAGATAGGGATTAGGTATAGGGTCTACTTCACATCAAACTTCAACGATCTGAACCGTCTATTTTGTAAGTCCAGATTCATAGATTATTCTTGCAAAAATTCAATTCAAATCAGAAATCATTTGCCCATTTAATTATCAAGATAAAATTTTATTGTTTTTTATATAACAAAGTATGCGTTAATTTTTTTGAACTCAATTAGATGTCTTAAATATTTTCGATTTGGCTAATATTTTGTAAGGATGATCTATGAGATACAACTTGAAAAATAGACGGTTCAAATCATTAAAGTTCGATGTGATGTGGACTCCATAACTAATCCTCATTTTTATTAAAAAAAAATAGGGATCCATTTAAAGGCTTCTCTTCTCTCTCTCTCTCTCTCTCTCTCTCTCTCTCTCTCTCTCTCTCTCTCTCTCTCTCTCTCTCTCTCTCTCTCTCTCTCTCTCTCTCTCTCTCTCTCTCTCTCTCTCTCTCTCTCTCTCTCTCTCTATATATTTATTTATTTATAAAAATAAGAATACCTTCCCTTAAAGGCTTCATCTCTCTCTCTATTTTATATATATATATATATATATATATATATATATATCCATAATGAGAGAAATCTAATGTTATAAACTTCTAATACTTTACATCAATGCTAAGAGTTACTCGCTTATGTGGGTCACTGTCCCAAAAGATGAAATATATTTTTATAACAACTCTTTCTTTTTTTTCTTTTTCTTTTTCTTTTTATTTATTATATATATATATATATATTTGAAATGGCAATAGTTTCATTGATAAAGCACAATTAGAACAAATTATTCAATGCGATAAATTGTGTCAATTTCCTTGAAAAAGTTCTAGACTAGACAGTTTAATGATTCCAATTAGTAAGTCTTTCCTGCCTTCAAAATGATGGATTGCTGCGACGAAGCCACCCCCTGGTGCTTTTTGTACTATGCAATGTTTTTCATGGTTCTCTTAAGTTTAGGGAGTAGTAGTTGTTCAGATGCACATCCATTTTTGAATTTAACTGCCAAGTGGTGTTAGTTGAGCAAACATTATGCAAATGACTTGGAAGTTCTTCCTTTGAATGGTAGTTGGAAGAGTGTCTGACTTGGCGATAGGTAGCATGGTTTGTTGGATCATATACATATGTATAACGTTTTTCTTTGGACTTCGTTGTTCCTCATCACCTGCCAATACCCTCTACAGATATGGATCCGCCGCCACCAAGCACGCCGCTGCTAGCCACCGCTCCTCCTCCCTATCACCAACCAGGATGCTTGGAATTCTGGTAAGATCTTTTCACTTCAAAAATTTTGGTCTACATCATGTACAATGGAAGTTATTTTCTCTAATGCGGGATAAATCTAGCTGAATTTGAGCATAAGCCAGCTGCCAACCCAATACAAATGGTCGCATCCCGCAAGATTAATTTATCCGCATTGGAGAATTTCTGCATATACAATGCTACTGCATTTTTTGTTTTAAATTTTGGTTTTGATTATGCAGTTTGTGGATTCTGTGCTGCTGTGGTATATTTAAATGCTGCTGCCCTCCACTGTTTGAGCCTGGCCCGCCTCCACCATAGTGCTACATTTTCTTATGACCCTACTTTGTATGAAATTATGAACTGTTTTGTGTAATTGGTAGACTGAAATATTTGCTAGATCTAAACTATTCCAATGTGGCTATAGGTGTTCATGAATCTCTATTTTTTTTTATTTAGTTTTATTTCTCTACTAATTTGTAACTAATAAACTTTACCATTTTTACTGTGTTCGGTTTCTTTTTAATCACAAAAAATAAGCACTGTACTCGTTTGTGACAATGGCTCAGATACCACAAAAAATGAACTAGACTCGGATACCACAAAAAATAACCATTGCCACAACAATTATCACTTTTGTGACAATGGGTTTTTATTATGTCAAACAATAAATTTTATTAGATTAGATGTTAGAGTAGCCATCAACAGGGTTTGAACCCACGCCGTCATGCAATAACTCAACATCTTTCCACCACAATGGTAAATGGTCACTTACCTTTTGTGACAATAATTTGGATAGAACAAAAAAAAAAAAAAATGGTAGTTCATCACAAAACATACCTTGTGAACTCATTCGATTAAATCAATCCTCTACATCCTTGATAAAACATACACTTTGTACATTCAAACATCTTTGGAGATCGAATTAGAGGGTCTAATTTTCTAAGAATATTCGTGTAGTTTGTAATCCTACTTCAAAATGTAAGTTATAATAAATAAAATTAATCGTTTTGATTGACCGAATGATTTTGATATCGAATATCAACCGCCAACACAGCCTACAACCTTGGTTGCCTAAGTTTTCAAAAAAGAATTTGTTTTCAGAAGTCAAAACTATTGTTCGACAATTAGGTACTAAGTTGGACTAGTTTAGAATAGAATAAGTTGAATTGATTTAGTGAAACGTCTGGTGCAGTATCGAATAAAGAAACAAGGTAGGTAATAAAAATAGCATTGTCCTCAGTTTTTGGTATTTGCTCGGACAAAAATTAAATTATTGTTCTATTTTAATTTCTTTTCTATTAAAAATATTTTCAAAATTAGTATTATTGATTTCAACATAATAAATACCCCCATCCAATACTCAATCGACACTGCCATACGAGTAGAGTAATTGCTCAGTCACAGGGAGAAATCCTGATCTCCAATTTTGGATTGTCGAATAATGGCGAGCAATTATCCATGGACCCACAACTAAGTACTACAAATTCCCTATCCTCTTCCAAATCAAATTTAGCAATATAGAAATCATGATACAATGACAGCCCAGCCATATTCTTCTCCGATTCGGTAGCAGGATCATCACCGTCGGCCTTGCCGCTATGGATCCACTAGATTACACTGTTGACACCACCGTCGCTTAGTAACTAAAATTCCCCTTTTGGTCTTTCGAAAATACCTATTTCCTATGCTTCACCGCGGACTAAATTTTAATGACCTAAGACCATCTCTAACCAAAAGGGCCAAACATAGCCCCGTCCAGAATTATAGCCCTGTAAAAAATTATTTTTAAATGAACAATGTCAGGTCATATTCATATGCTGTTTTCAACCGAAAGGACTAAACATAGCCCCATTGATAATTTACTATTTTAACTTTATATTTTAAATTTATTGGTTCATTTAATTAAACTACTGTTGGATGCTTTCAAATCTAGCCGTTGAGTTTGAATCAATTATTGCAACTAAGAAGCTAGGCACCATAAAAGGGGCTAAGAGGAGGGTTACATTTGGCTAGCTTGATGCCTATTTGGCCAAATAATAGTGTAGTGGGCTCTATAGAATTATAGTCCAGCCATCAGTTAAATATGAGTTTTTTGACAAATCATGTCATTTTTTTTGGCTTTTGAACCTTTAAACCTCTTCATTAGAGATTGCTTAATGAGTCCCGAAGTTCACACACTCTCACCTAAGAAGGTGAAATAAACGCACTCTTTGGTACAATTAATGACAGATAGATTTGAATGTGTGGCTAAGAGTGAACGGGATGACTTGTAATAGGCTATTATATTGCAAAATAATTCAAAATTGAGAAGTCGGCAGTCGTGTGTACAAAATGGGCAATGTGCGAATAATATTTTTGAATAGAAAAACACATAACCATCCATCAGCCAACCCCTACTGCCTGAAAAATAGTGGCGATAGGACTGGCTGCAACTTGCGAGTGATTGTAGACTTTGCGTTTAGGCGAATGGGCAGCCGTTTGAGAATATGGGGTTGCTTTGGTTACATCACTGGTTTTAAGAGGGGGGGGGGGGGTGGGTGGGGTGTGGTGTTTGACGGCTGAGAATATGGGGTTGCTGTGGTTACACCACTGGTTGGGGGGGGGGGGGGGGGGGGGGGGGGTTGAGAGAGAAGTGCATGTTTGCTTACTACGCTCAAGTAGTGGTAATGTTCATCGTTCTATTTATTCTTTTTGGATGAGTTTAAATTTTAAGATTTGTGTCTATTCACTACACTGATTTCAAAATTTAAACTCATCCTAACAATTATAGATAGAGTGGTGACATTGAAATTACTATCACTTGAGGGTGGTAAGAAAAAATATTACCAGAAAGAGTTGTGGGGAATGAGAGAGTGTGGGTGTGGGTGGCATCACTCGTGGGTGGGCCTGGCTGCGAACTTGATGAACCCTACGTCAGGTGTCTTGGGTTGCCCCCAAGAAAAACCGCAGGTTTAGGTGCATATTCAATTCCTCTAATAGGCCTCAATAAAAGCCCTAAAGAGTAATAAACAGGGGCAAAGTCCGACCCACCCACTGGTAAACCAACCACAGAGATCAAAACGTACCGTTTGAGGAGAAGGACAAACGAAAAGGCTCGAAGTAGCAGCGCGCACGGTAACACGAGAATGGCCGGGAAAGGAGGAGCAACCCCAAGCACTTACGCGCCGTCTCCGACGACCCAGAAGACCAAATCCCTAATTTTCGGAAACGACGACGTTGATTGGGTCCGCTCCGACGGCCGTGAATTCCACCAATGCCGACCTGCATGTAAGCCTTTTATTACTTCCCCCTTTTTTTCACATAAACTTAATTCCTTTACTCGTTTATTTTTAATTTTGTGGATGATTTTCATGGATTTTCTGTTGTGGGTTGTTGTTGTTTTATTTCTTTTGCATGTCCAAATATGGAGTTATTGAATTGGTTAATCAGCTTAAGCGGGATTTTACTTTTTAATGAATGCGGTTTAGTTTGGTTTAACTTGAATAATCAATCTGTACAGTGTCTTCCTTCTTTCGGTATACTGCTCGATGCTGTTGGGATTTTGTTGCTCTGTTGTATTGATTGGTTGTGATATTCATTCGTGTTAATCCATTTTCGGGGTTCCAAATACTCTTCGGTTCTTTGACTGAATGGGGAGGTACAAATGTATGTTGGCTACCTTGAAAGACATGAAATTTTTTGACATGTTTGAATTTGATGTAATGTGGGATGGATGCGTGTTTGATTTGCTGAAGCTACGACAAGCGCATGTGTAGTCTGCCCGAGTCATGTGGATTAGGAGAGAAACAGAATAGGACTCCTCTAACAAGTTGGTAATCTACAGTTTTCAAGACTGGTGCTGTAAATTGTGCCTCAGGATCAGCTTATGCAGAGTTTGGAAATACCAAGGTCATTGTTTCTGTGTGAGTGTATCTAATTTATAAATACATAATCTGGCTGGCTTTTAGCTCTACTAATTACATTTCTATCATAAGTTCACTGTTTTTACTTCTTTTTTTTCATGAGAGTAAGTGCAACACGATATGATTTAAAATGCAAAGAGAGACGATGAATCGTGTGTGATATTTTATTTGTCTTGGTTGGTTTAGATTTGGGCCAAGAGAGAGTAAGAAGGCAATGATGTACAGTGATATAGGACGCTTAAATTGCGATGTCAGCTATACAACTTTTGCTACCCCAGTTCGTGGACAGGTATATATGTTTGTGTTAATGTATCTTCTAATCCTCTTTTCAACCACTCTTTTTTAAACCACTTTACTAATATTTGAACTCCTGATTTTCTAGGGGTCGGACCACAAAGAATTTTCTTCAATGCTTCATAAAGCTTTAGAGGGTGCAATAATATTGGAAACTTTCCCCAAGACTACTGTGGATGTTTTTGCATTGGTGTTGGAATCTGGAGGCAGTAAGTTTTCGATTGGTTTTTAACATTTAAACTTCTGTTCTTTCTGCCATTGTATGTTTAGGTTGAGGACAAATTATAATTAATATGTAGAAAAGGAATGAACAGAAATAACAGAGTAGAGAATTTGAAGTGGAACAAATAAGATTATACTCCTGCTACGTCAATGTAGATGTTTATGTGTATGTCAATAACATGTAAACTTCTGAATGCGTGTACTTTTTTTTGTTTATTTCTCCTACATAAAAGAATCTCACCATTTGAATGTAAAGGTGCTGGCCATGACTTGCGGTTTTCAGTGCCTTGGACTCAAGTTTGGCACACTAAGGTTTTTGCTTGGGGAAAAATTATAATTGTTTGAAATTACCTCTTACTTAGCTCACGAGCTGACATGTAATTGACTGCTTGTATGAGTTTGATAGTGTCATTATGTTGATAAAGATGTATAATTGATAAGCAATTAGAATTATAGACAGGTCATTTGCGACCAGAATCGAGATATAAGAATGATTTTTACGTTGTTATATCATCGGTGCATTTCTGCCACTGATCATTTGGTTGTGTCTTCATTTGTGCCGTTCAGTTTGTTGTGCATGGTTATAAGCTTTTTCATTTTGGTTGCAGGTGATTTTCCTGTAATCATATCATGTGCTAGCCTTGCCCTAGCAGATGCTGGGATAATGATGTATGACCTTGTTGCTTCGGTTTCTGTGGTATGCACCTGGCCTAGACATGGGGCCTTCTATACTTTTTCTTCATAATCAAGTTTAAATCAAAAATATTTTGTTACTGAATCTCTTACCTTGCTCAACATTTGTTTTTATTTTTAATTTCATTTACTATTGCGCAATCATCATATTTATGCACAAATTGCCCGGTACAGAATATGGAAGAATTGAGAATTGTAAAACTTGAGCACGTGGCACAGTACTGATCACAAAATTCGATCCCTGATCATTACTTTGTATTTATTCTATTCTTATGGCTATTCCACTAAATAGCAAGATTACTGCTAAGTTTTCCCCTTTTGTTTATGTTCATATAGTACAGTACTGTAAGTATTTATTTTGGAGAAGAATTCTTATGATTTATATTTATGGC